CACCCAGTTCTGCCTAGAAAGTAGAAACTCTCTACAGCCAGGATTAGGAATAGGAAATGAATGTTCTGCAGGAGGAATCCAGTGAAATGAACACTGCATTGTGTCCATGACTCACATTCTGAGAAGAGGAAGTACAGAAGCCCTGAGACCCTTGCAGATTTCCTAGATTTGATAGAGGTTATCTTTTCTTGGTCCTTTGCATTACAGGACCCGCCTTTCCTGTCATCATTCCATTTCCTTTGCATGAGCAGGGAAAAGGTAATGAGGTATCATATAGGGTGTTTCACTTTTGCAAGTAAAAGGAGAAACAAAAATACTCACTTTTTAAGCTCATTTGTCCAATCAAAACTATTCAACCTTCTTACCCTACCTAAGTCAAATAACTTTTGATAGAATTTCAGGACTGTAAGACTTCCTTTAGACTTCAATATCACCTAGAATGTCTTCAAAACTGGATCTGATTTGCTTACCTCTAAATGGCCAGGATGCAGAGAAAATCAGAGTTCTAGCTTTGAAAGTCCAGATCAGAAAAAGAAGAATCTCAAATGTAAGAGATAGGAGCAGAGACCCCACCTGTCCTTTGGAGATGCTCCAAGCTCAAACTTTGTGACAGAGGACTATATGTAGGTCAGATTACTCTCAAGAAAGCCCTCAAAAACTCTCTAGAGAGAAGCTGAATTCCAAGAAAAATCAAATTAGGAAATTTTGAAATCATGCTATGTATGTGATAATACAGTTTTATTTTACATGCAAAATTAATATAAAATGACCCCTTAACCCAATTATCCTGCTCAGATCAGGGCACTATAGAATTCAAGATTTTATTCTGAGTTGGTATGAATAAATGTTTTGCACAGAGGAGTCAACATGATCTAACATCTTTAATTTTTTTACATTAACTCAACTGTTTTAGAGAAATATTCAATATCAGTTGCATTTTTTAAGTATTATGTAGCTAAAGGAGATTCTTCGCCTCAAAAATAAACTTTTTTCCTTGAAAAATAATATGTTTTCCTTGAAAATACATGACTATTAATGGTTTATGATTTAGTTCATAATTTTCAAGAAATAATATAAGATAACTAAGAAAACTAATTATCTAATTCAATATAAAATGCGTTTGTGAGGGGCACCTGGGTGGCTCAGTAGGTTAAAGCCTCTGCCTTCGGCTCTGGTCATGATCCCAGGGTCCTGGGATCGAGCCCCACATTGTGCTCTCTGCTCAGCAGGGAGCTTGCTTCCTCCTCTCTCTCTCTGCCTGCCTCTCTGCCTACATGTAATCTCTATCTGTCAAATAAATGAATAAAATCTTTTAAAAAAATGTGTTTGTGAATATACTCGCTTGCATTCTGTGCTCAAGGCTCGGAATGTCCGTTGAACGGATGAATGAGTCAAATTTGCTACAGGCTGTGAAGATGCAACCTGATATCTCTGGGTCTCATTTTATTCATCTGGCAAATGAGGGATTAAACCAAAAAATGTCTTAGGATTTACCTTCTCTAAAACTTCAAATGTAAGTTTTATGGTTCTACATCTCAGGTGAAAGTATATAGCATTATCTAGTACCTCTTTACTGACTCAACCCACCCCCCAAGAAATCAAATAGCAGACACTCTAAGTCTTCTTTGACATTTCCAGTATCATTGTACACGTATAGCAATGGTGATATTGTTGATAATATTAACCCTCAACTATTAACCTAATGTTTGTATAGAAGCTGGGGTTTACAAAGTCTTTTCATAAATGGGCTTTCATCAGATTTTCAAATCTACCCCCAGCAGACTCAATCTTACTCACAGCCACGAATATTCCCATTTTACAAATGGGAAGGCTGAGACTGAAAGGAACTGCCACAATTAACGAATGGACGAGAAAACACATTTCCTAGTAACTCACAACTTGCATGAGTCAAACTTTATCTTTGCTCAATAGACACTTAGCAAATGGAGGAAAGTGGCAAAATAGATCCATAAGAACTAATCGGCAAGCTTTGGACAGTTCTCTATTGTAAAACAGAGAATTTCACTCGTGCCTATTTGTAATTCATAATTTTTTTTAATCTGAGAGCTATAGATGAAAATCAAGAGAAATAAGACAGTATGTAAGAAAGAAATTAATTATAGAATCTACATACAAAATGCTAAGGAATTTTATGAAGATTTTACATGGGGAAATAGCATCTTTGAAACACACTGAAGTGGTAGAGTGCTTGTAGCTATGGCTTTCCTTTCTGAACACCATGAAAGGTGGATATAATTTTATCATGTGGATGAGAAAAACATGTGCTAGTAGACAATGCTGTATGCTTACATGCAGTACTAATGCACAAGCTTGAGCTCATACCTAAATAAAAACTGTGAACTACTGAAAAGTCCAAGACAGGTGATGGACTATTTCTTATCAAGAGAGTAGGAAGAACTACAAGTGGTAGAAGGACAAAGAGTAGATAAAATGAAGGTACGAAAAACTGTCCAGTGTACAATGGGCATTGTCCACCACGCACTCCTCATTATCAGGGTTGTTTAAGCAACTGAAGGGTAAACAGCTGTCAGTGATACTGTAGAAGGAATCCCTCTTCAACACTCCTCCTCCACAGAAAATAAATACCAGTGATCTTAATAGAAACCTCTAGTCTGCCCATAGTATTTATTGAGTGCCTCTGGAACCTAACTGTCTACAAAATTCCTTCTCTACTATTTGTGGCTGTGCAATGCCAGGTACAATTTTTCTGGCCTCAGTCTCATAGGCTTGATAGGAAGTGCAAATAAGTTAATATTTGCAGAACCCTTAAAAAGTGTCTGGAATGTGGGTATCATTCAAAAATGTTAGCTTCATCTTTATTATTGCTTTTCTCCAATTTTCCCTCAGTATCCTGGCAATGATCTTTATACAATGCAAATTTGTTGTCATGATCACTGAAAAAAAAAATGCCAAAAATCCTAGTATGACCTATAAAGGTCTGGAAGATCTGGCCCCCATCTCTTCTCCAGCTTCATTTATAAGCTCTAATTTTAGCAGAATCAAGGCTCCATGGACTTGATAGGATAAATATCATCAGTTAAGATTAATGAAAGGATAAGTCCTGCTTTCTAATGGAATAACAATAAACAAAAAACATTATTTTTTATCAGACATTATGTATAGGTATAAATTAATGAAATAATCAAAGGAATAATACTTGTTAATAAGTATTTAGTATTTACTATTCCAAACCCTATAGTGTTTTATGTACAATATCTCACTCAATCTTACAACACTCTTGTGAAGTGAATATTCATTTTATCTGTATTTGATCAATGAAAAAACCAAGGCTCAGAGAGGTCAGGTAGGGCATCTGTTGTCAGAAAACGAAGAAGTAGCAGAACAGGCCAGTGAGTTCCCTGCACCTGAACCCCTTTCTCATCATGTTCCCATTTAGTGCCTACTAGCTGCCAGGCTCTGTGCTGTGTTTTGTCTATATTAATATAATTCATACATTATTATCTCTGCTTTAAACTAAGCAATGGGCATACAAAAAGATCATGTGTGTTTCCCGTGGTCCCAAAACTAACAGCTGGACCAAGATTTGAACTCAGGTCTGCCTTAGTCTAAAAAAGCATCTTTAACTATCATCCAGCATCACTGCCCTATACTTTAAAATGCTGCTTTTGGGGTGCCCAGGTGGCTCAGCTGCAAAAGTGTCTACCTTGGGCTCAAACTGTGATGCCAGGGTTCTGGGATTGTCATGTTGGGCTCCCTGGTCAGCGGGGAGCCTGCTTCTCCCTTTCCTCCTCGCTTGTGCTCTCTCTCACTGTCTCTGTTTCTCTTTCTCCCAAATAAATAAATAAATAAAATCTTTAAAAATAAAATAAAATAAAATGCCTCTTTAAATGAACCCCAGTCTACTTGAAAATCCTATTGAATCACTAGGACTGATTCCAATTCTAATGTGCTTTTGTTTTCTTTTCTGAAAACATTTAATTGTGCTATAGAAGACCAAAAAAAGAAAAAAATGGGATGGATGAAACCCATAGTTTGCATCAAATTCAACTAAATAGGTAATAAGTGGACCCCATGCATGTTAAACATAAGTATAACTAGACACTGAATATTCATGATACACCTGGGGCACCTGAGTGGCCCAGTCAGTTAAGCCTCTGACTCTTGGTTTCAGCTCAGGTCACAACCTCAGGGCAGTGAGATCAAGCCCTGCATTGGGCTCCATGCTAAGTGCAGAGTCAGCTTGAGATTCTCTCCCTCTCTCTCTCTCTGCCTCTCCCCTCAACCGTATCTCTTTCTTAAAATAAATAAATAAAATCTTAATAGATAAATAAACACTCATGATACACCAAATATATGAGGCACAAAATATTCCCTGATACACAGGAAGTGCTCAATATTCTTAACATCTTAATTCAGCCACTGATTGGTGAAACCCATCCCACATATCCTTTGCCCAAGAAACACAAATAAAACCCAAAGCTGTTTAGCAGGCTAACTAGCAAGCTACAGCTACAACCAGGCATACTTGCCTCCCAAAATATGAAAAAGCAAATGTGTGTCATTGGCCCGAGGCACCTTCTGTCTGTGGGTCTCCTTGCTGCAATCTCATATCTGGGCTTCATAACCACACCATGAAGTGGGGAAAACTGATGTGGCACAGATCTGAAAATTGCCCATCCTGGGAATCAGGTGGTGTGGTCCTTCCACATGCTTACATCATATCCTGTGATAACTTAACCATCTCCTTCCACTTGCTTCTCACAATATATTTTTAAATATTATAAACCAAAGAGGTCAAGCATCCTAATCTGGTCTGTGAGTCCTTCTGTCCCATGACCTCTGGGATTGGATAGCTTACTGGTAATGTATCAAAGGCTACAATCACATCAAGGTATTTCCTACATGACATCCCTGAGAGGACATGGGATCAACAACAGCAGCAAGTGTCAGTTCCAGGCAGGAAAACTGAGTCTTGAGAAAATCGGAGGTGCTCTCTTTACCTCTCCTTTTTCACTCACCTTGCATCAGCCAGAGTTGCTCGTGCCACAGCCCAGGCCACAGCAAATGCTGCTGGGAACCCTGCAATCAAAAAAGGATTCAGAGACCATATTTAAGATTAAGGGAATTTTTTAATCTCATACTCAACACACATAAGAATATACTATTAAAAGTTGAAAGAGAGGGGCACCTGGGTGTCCCAATGGGTTAAGCCTCTGCCTTCAGCTCAGGTCATGTTCTCAGGGTCCTGGGTTCAAGCCCCACATCAGGCTTTCTGCTCAGCAGGGAGCCCGCTTCCCCCTCTCTCTGTCTGCCTCTCTGCCTACTTGTGGTCTCTCTCTCTCTCTGTCAAATAAGTAAATAAAATCTTTAAAAATAATTAATTAATTTAAAATTTAGAAAGTTGAGAGAGAAAAACAGATATGAAAAATGTTGATATATCAACAAGAAATTCCACTTAATTTTCATCTTGTCCATTCAAAAAAATGAGCAGGTACATTGCTGTCATTTGTTCCTGAAAGTCTAAAGATTGAAGGTTGGGCCCAATTTTCCCTTGAGGGATAGATTCCCTCAAGCTATCCTGGGAGGGGAGAGAAGTTACTGCGGCCAGAAGCAGGCAGTAGTTGCAGCACTGGATTTGACTCTTGCCACCCTGACAGCTACAGGCTTTCAAGGAGGAGTGAAGAAACATGACAGACCTCATGAGAAGCAGCAGGGAGCCTGTCGTTTTAAAAAATTAGAACTTAGCCATTCTAAAAGAAACTATATTGAGAAGTTACAAAACTAAAAGTTTTGATCAGTTTAGCCTCTTCTTTTTGAGGGGTTCATATTGGCTGAAGACAAACATTTGCATGCATTTAGACCAAGGGGTGCCTGCTATATGAGTCTGGTGAATTGAGTGTGAGATATGTATCCTTCATAAATGTTAAACACCTTGTGAGCTTGTAACATCAGATCTATTACACTGACTTTCCACAAGCCTGAAAAGGCCACCTATGGTAAAGGCTGACTGTTCAGTTCATGTTATAGTTGATGAGACTCTGACAGCACACACAAAAAGATCACAAATCATAGCTTCTGTGGAACACAGCAAAATAGGACCAAAGGATTTAATGGACAACTTCTCATTCTGTGGAATTTATGAAAGTGGTTAAAAGAAAGGAAAGAGAGAGCATTATGGAAACATTGCAAAAGTTAAGAAGCACCTTAAAAGGGAGAGAAAAATTTTAATCTAACTTAGAACATTTTTTGCTAAACACAATATTAAATTATTTCCTTTTAAAAACACATTTTCAATTTTTCAAATAATCTTTTTTTAGCAAAAAGTGAAAAAGAATAGATTCAGATGTAGGAAAATGCTATTAAAAGTGAAAACAAGATGATACCCTGCAATAGAAAATTTTTTGGCCTTCTCAGTGATCATCTAATTGAATTTAACCTCAGCCTGCCTGTGTGGCTATTAGATTTTATGATTCCATGTTCAAATTTTATTTGTTTGCTAGAACATCTGAATTTCAAACATCATTTTGAAAATGCTCAAATTCTATGAGAATTGGAAATTGTTTTTGTCAAAATAGATCTACTTAGGGATGCCGGGGTATGCTCAGTTGGTTAAGCATCTGCCTTCAGCTCAGGTCATGGTCCCAGAGTCCTAGAATTGAGTCTTACATCGGGGTTCATTGCTCAGTGGGGAGCCTGTTTCTCCCCTGGCTGCTGCTCCTCCTGCTTGTGCTCTTTCTCTCTCTCTCTTTTTCTCTATGGCAAGTAAATAAATAAAATATTTTAAAAAACAGATCTACCCAATTCTAGTTATCCCTTAAGTTCAGTTCACATATTTTATCTATCTTTCTATCCATCTCTGTATCTACCCACCTACCTATCCATCCATCCGTCCATCTATCCCATAACCATTTATTAAGTGCCTATGTATGTGTCAAGGATTACTCTACTTTCAGAAGATAAAACAATAAACCAGCAATATCCCTATTTTTTTAAGCATATGCTGGAAGGAGATGCAAAACTAATAACATAACTTTGGTTATTAATCAGCACTATGAAGAAAAAACAAGAATGATGTTGTATAATGCAGTAGAGTTCCTGCTGATACAGTGGTTCAAAAAGTCCTGATGCATCTCCCTTTACTCTTCTGCTGCTTTGACTATCTTTAGTCTTGATCAGAATTTTCACATTTTCTCATTTATAGGTCTTTATCTTTTGCTTCCTTTACAATCTCCCAATCAAGCAATTTCCTGTGTGGTGTTCTATACACATTGATCAAGGGTACTTGAGTTGGAATTCTGTTTTAGATGATAATTATAACAAATACCTTATGGAAGATACCGTGTCTTAATGAAATTACTTTTCTCATCATCTTGGAAGACTTCCACTCACAAAACTAGCACAGAGGCAACCATGGATGAAAACAAATTGAAACCACTCTGGGATTTAAAGATTTTTTTTTTAAGATTTTATTTATTCATTTGACAGAGAGAGACACAGCAAGAGAGGAAACACAAGCAGGGGGAGTGGAAGAGGGAGAAGCAGACTTCCCACTGAGCAGGGAGCCCTATGTGGGGCTCAATCCCAGGACCCTGCGATCATGACCTGAACCAAAGGCAGATACTTATTGACTGAGCCACCCAGGTATCCCTTAAGGATTTTTGATCACCAATATTAGTATCATATTATTACATAATTGAGAACACATAAATATAAGGGGAAATTTTTGAAATTTAGATGTTATTTTAAATTTAAATATTAATTTGAGTAAATTTAATGTAAATTTGAATGTTAATAAATGCATTTACCTTGAGAACTGAGTTATCTTCATAAAATGTCAGTATAAATAAGTGACTCTGAGAAGGATGCAATCTTTAGACTAAAAGTAAACAGATGTGGGTTCTTGTGTGGTTCCATTACTACTCTTCTTTAAAATGAAATTTTGGACTAATAGTAGTTAAAATGTGTTAGCAATTAAACCCTTCCTTCACATAAAAACTTAGCAGCAGCCAACTGCATAAAACAGAAATGCTCTGAAGTCAAAGATCATGAATAGGATCTTCTCACCTTGGTTTATGTAGTTTCATCTTGTTTTGGATATTTCAGAAGCTTCATAGAACCATACCTTAGCTGTGGTCCTTACTGTAGTATTATAAAATCACAAAACTGATCATAAAGTATAAAGTTAGACCTAAAAAGTAGACACCCATCATGACATAGGATGCCTAGCTTTGCTAAACACATACAGTATCTTACCAACCAGAAACCTTGATTCCCCTAGGAATCCATCTGTATTGACTGCTCAGACACAAAACTCTAGGTTAGGCTTCCAGTTCCCTCACTACTCATCATAGAATGCTGGAGTCAATACCCATCACCTATGTTTCATCCTTTAAGGAACCCAGAAGTACCTCTATATGATTTTGGCAGTATTGTTCTCAACTCTCTAAGCCAATACTGAAGGAGTACATCTCTCTTTCAGGAAAATTGCAAAGCCTTTGAAAGTCTTTCATTGCTACAAAGAAGAGGGTCTATTTATAAAACTTTAGAAGAGCTACCTCCTCCTGAGATGGAATTGCTATAGGAAACAAAAGAAATATTTTAACTATGTATCTAATTTATAATCCAAAAAAAATGCTCTGGAATAGAGTAAGGCATTGTGGGAAAGGACCAGTCTAAAGCAGAAGAGCTACAATAAAAAAAGAAAATGTTTACTGAATTAAATATGGTCAGTGGGCAGAAACTGTAAAAGATCAAATTGATGGAGATGAAGTGAAATCTTGAAACCAGGTGAACTCAGTGAGATAAATCTAGATAACTGCTACAAATATAAATCTAAATGTGACTATAATTTGTTTTATTTTAAAGAGGTAATAATTTATACAATCTTAAAGGGTTAGGAATAAAACCCCAAAACACATCTAAAAAGTTTGGGGAAAAATGATAAGCGGAGAGATTCAAATTCTGTATCTTTCATAAACGTAGGGCTGAAATATCGATCTTTTATTGACTCTAATTGTTATTGACTCTAATTTTATTGACTCTAATTGACTCTAATTGTTTATTGACTCTACCTTCAGTAGAACTAGTAATGGTATTAAAAATCATAAGGGAAGAGAGAAATAGCTTTCCTAGGTTTTTAAATTTTGTTTGAAGCCAATGAAAGATTTTTAATTGTGTAAAGGTATTATATTGACTATCCTAAATAATTTTTTGGAGAACAGATCTTATAAATCAAATATTTTGAATGTAATATGTATGATCAGAATAGGCAAACACAAAACAAAATAACCTACTAGGTCAGACTGCATGCTTATTGTGTGCAGAGACTTCAACACATATCTCTGTGTTTCGATTACATTACTGCCTACTGGATAATCAAAAAATATTTGCTGAATTGAGATCACCTGATACAGAGATAATGAAACTGGACATGTAGCATCTCCTGATTATTTTCAGAGACTACAGCATATGAAAATATTCTATAGGAAAGCTTGGCAACGGAGACATGACTACACAGTATAATCAGGGTAGGTGATCTTATATGATAATATGTACATTCTGGCATCTTATCTGAGAGCTGAAAATTAAGAATGGTTGCTAATATAGAGGCAAATTACCACATTAAGAATAAAGAAATAAGACTGACACCTTTCAAATATAAAATTAAATATATAGAAAAAATAATGCATGCTTGGAAGAAAATGGAACCAAGAATAAACTGCCTTATTTGTGAGAAAATTGAGGCAAGAAGAGGGAAAATTAAGAACATGGTTGATTGAAAGAAAAACAGAGTCATCATTGGAATTTGCCTTTACTCCTCTATACATTTGTTTTGTGATGAAGATGTGTAAAAACAGTTATTTTAAACATTTGCCTCCAATTTACTAATGATCAGATATGGCATCGTCTCCTCTTTAGATTGTAATTTCCTTCCCATCCAATTTATTCTTAAGAATCAGCAAAATCAATGTAAATATTATAGCTCCACATCACTATAATGGGAATAATAAAGCTCTATTTATTTAGCTGAAGAGAGTTTAACATTATCATGATTGGGTCCAATGAGTAACAAAGGAATCCAAGCAAGGTCTCTTCTCTAGTGACACCAATAAATCACATCATTGGAAGAAAGTGTGAAATTGGATTCACTATAAATTACTCTAGCAAAGAATCATGCAAAGCAGCTATAATGTTTTTGATCATTGTTTTTCTTTTTTTTTTTAAAGATTTTATTTATTTATTTGACAGAGAGATCACAAGCAGGCAGAGAGGCAGGCAGAGAGAGAGGAGGAAGCAGGCTCCCTGCTGAGCAGAGAGCCCGATGCGGGGCTCGATCCCAGGACTCCGAGATCATGACCTGAGCCGAAGGCAGCGGCTTAACCCACTGAGCCACCCAGGCGCCCCTTGATCATTGTTTTTCTTAATGGAATCTAGAAAAATGATCAGAAATCTTTTGATTTCTAAATCAGATGATATTCTAAATAGAATGTCAGTGCTAAGGGGAAAATAGTCTATTAATCAAATAGACTTAGGTATTGAATTCATTAAATAGTAGCTGCATTTAAGTGATGGAGTTTTTTTTTTTTAAGATTTTATTTATTTATTTGAGAGAGAGAGAGCACATGGGCATGCACTCTTGTGAGTATGGGAAGGGGCAGAGTCAGAAAACCTCAAGCAGACTCCAAAATGAGTATGGAGCCTGTATGGGGCTCAAGGAAAGACTCACGGGGGCTCAACCTCAGGACCCTGAGATCATGACCTAAGCAGAAACCAATAGTTGGACTCTTAACAGACTGAGCCCCTCAGCAGTGGGGAGATATTCTTTAAAGAATATTACTATAGGGGGCCCCTGGGTGGCTCAGTGGGTTAAAGCCTCTGCTTTCGGCTCAGGTCATGATCCCAGGGTCCTGGGATCGAGCCCCGCATCGGGCTCTCTGTTCAGCAAGGAGCCTGCTTTCCTTCCTCTCTCTCTCTGCCTGCCTCTCTGCCTACCTGTGATCTCTGTCAAATAAATTAAAAAAAAAAAAAAAAAAAAGAGTATTACTATAGTTACATGCACCCTAGACTAGAACATTTTTTTAATGGAGTTGCAAACAGAGATTCAGAAGGTAGATCAAATGTGGAACCATAATTCTCTAAAGATTGGTTATCAGTGTTTTAGATTGTGCTTAATTGTGTGTGATACAGCACATGTAAAATGTTTTTCAAAGCAAGCTTCCATAGGAGGCCTACTTGCTTTCATGTTTGTTCCTAAACCATTTGATGAAAAGACCACTTCAAGTAACGATGCTTATCTACTGTAGTTATCATTCCAATGCCAAAGTTCTTGTGAGCAAATCAATAAATTTGTATAAGAAGGGAAGAAATTCATATTCGTGTCAAACCCACTGGACTTTTTTAAAATTCTGTTTTTTTCATAGAAAGGTCTGAAAAATAACTTCGCAGGTTAAGTGAAACAAACTCCTGACTTTAAAGAGGAACAGACTGAGTAACAGAGGATGTGAAGAACAAAGGCAAAAGGAAATGCAGATAAAATTAAACTTCTTTATAACTTGGAGCTTATTGACAAATACTTAAGGCAGGCAGAATATGACATTCCTCCAGGAACTCCCAACTGTTTTAATGTTAATGCCTTGCTAGAGGGAAAAAAACAACCTTAGCTTGACAATAGCTAGCACCCCCCATCCTATAAATCTTTTTATTTTTTAAGATTTTATTTATTTATTTGACAGACAGAGAGCACAAGTAGGCAGAGAGGCAGGCAGAGAGAGAGGGGGAAGCAGGCTCCCTACTGAGCAGAGAGTCCTGAAGCGGGCTTGATCCTAGGACCCTAGGATCATGACCTGAGCAGAAGGCAGAGGCTTAACCCACTGAGCCACCCAGGCACCCCCCACCCCCATCCTAGAAGTCTTATTTACCATATGAAAATCCTTTTGGAAACTTCCTTTGTCTTTACTTCCCCCACCTCCAAAAAGTATAGAATCAATTGCACTTCACAATCCCAGAACAGTTCTTTCTGCCCAGTGGTCCTGTCCCGGAGCTTTCATAAAAACATCCTTTTGCACCTAATAATGTCTCAAGAATTCTTTCTTGACCATTCACTCAGGAACCTCACTTCAAATCACATCAATAGAGACCAAGTAAGAGTTCTGGGGGAGTTGGCTATCAAACCAGTAGGTACATAGAGAAAAAAAAGGGATTTATTATGTATGACCAGTGGTGTAGAAATCTAAAATATAAAATGTAACTAGGACAAATGTCTACATTCATTGTTGAATTTTCTATCAACACCTTTACCAACTTCTAGTAATTATATTGGTACACAGATATAATTTTGATTTAAAGGCAAACTATCAAAAACTATTCAGGAAATTTCCAAAGTACCTAAAAAGTAAAATATCCTTTTCATTTTTTTTTTTTTTAGCAACTGCTAGTCAAAGGGAAAGCTTTAAAAAAGACAAGCTGCCTTCAGAAATAAAGTTTTATTCACAATAATCATTTCATAATAAATGAAATGTCATAGTAAATAGACCCTTTGTTTTCTTAAAGTAAATAGACCTGCTAGTTATTCATTAACTAGCAGGAAATTCAATGTTCCCTACTACACATTTTCAAATGTTAAAAAAAAACAATATTAAAGCCAAACAAGCAAGGAAATCTTACTTTGGAGGAGAAAAACAAAGCCCTTCAAATTTAATCTTGAGCTGCTCAGTTAATTTTTTTTTAATATGCTGAGCACCTTATAACGTGGGTATTAAAATAACAATAGAGATCTGCAATTGTTGATCATGAGGCTTCTTAATTGTAACTACATATGAGTTTCAATTTCTCTTAAATTTGAACAAGCAACATCCTTTTCCCCATGTCCTGTTGAGTTAATGCCTAGTCCAGTGTAGTGCTGAGAAGGCATTTTTGGAATGTGAGATAAATATCCTCTTTTTTTTAAAGCATTTTTGCATAAAGTAATCTGCATCATTTCCTTCCAAAAGACATGATAAGTCTGCATAATTAGTTGGTAATTTGTATCTTTAAATGCAGTCAAGATGATCTTATAAATTCCTTTATGGAATTCTCATCATACAATCTAAAAATGTAAATCAACATTCATTACTATAGCTTAGAAATTTAAATATCAAAATATTTAAGATGAAATTATTGCCAAATCAGGACATTGACATAAGATATGAGCATAGCAGTTCTAAATGTGTATGGTGAACAATGTGTTCTTTTATATTTCCACCAAAGAATTCTCTCAAGAATCTGACCTAAGAACACTAACCATAAGTTAAAGATGGAAAGTTTGTTACCACTGGGAGGATTGTAGACTTGATCTTAATAATCTTCCCCAATGAACAGTGGAAGAGAAAGAAGATATAAAGGTAAGATAGAGAGATTTCAGGAAAATGGCTGAAAGTATGTTAAGGATACATGATACAGGAAAATGCTGAGTATTCAGGACAAAGTCAAGAAAGAATTCTTGAGTTGTGTTTGGTAGAAAAGGTTGTTTTATTAAAGTAAGGGGACAGGACCCATGGGCAGAAAGAGTGGCACTTGGGTTGTGATAGGCATGTGACTGTATACTTTCAAATGGGAGGGGGTTAATGCTAGCATAAGTCCCTAAGGAATTTTGGAAACAAGGTTTCCAGGACCCTGTGGAGCTAGGTATTGTTAAGAAAAGGTCGTTTTTTACCGTATAGTAAAAGCTCAGTTCTGAGACACTTCAGATGTGTGTCAGTGGGCCATATGCTAGAAGGATGATTGCTAACATGTACCTGATGGGTAGAGATAAAGGAAGTTTCCAAAGGAATTTTTATATGTTAAAGAAGACTTACTGGATCTTGGAGGTCAGCATAATGTTAAGCTAAGATTGCCTTTTGCCCTTAGCAAAGTGTCAACATTGAGGCACCTGAGATCCTAGAGGAATGTCACTCTTCTTGTTTCCAGTGCTTGTCAATGGGCTGTACATAGTAAGGACATTTAATTTTTTCTTTTGTTTTTGTCTCTCACATCAGTAGATTTAAGATAAATCCATAATACAGTTTAAAGAGAAAAGGGATATAAATACCTTACCCCAGCCTATCAAGATGAAGCCCCACAGGTATTTGGTGTCCGAAAAGAATGCCACAAAGATTAGACTATGCAGGTAGAGACCTTCCACCAAGATCCAATAGTAATTTGTAGCCAAGAAGTAAATGAACATAACAACAGCAATCTTGCACCCAATCTGTTACAAATAAACCAGAATTGCATCATATTAGAACTCAATTATACTACATGAAACATCAGACCATGAAAAAGTAATTCTGTATTTCTTTTTTATGATCTGTTTCCTGCCTATAGGCAAGCCAAGACTGTTGAATGAGACCAGAACAAAGTTATTTTAAGACAGCATCTCTAAAACTATCAACTCAATTCTATTTTTAAAGTAAGTTTTCCTTTAGAAGTTACCAAAAAATCATTTTTCCTTGATTTTTCCTGTTTATGAAAATAATACTTGATCACCAGAGAAAATTAGGAAAGTACAAGAAAAGCATAAAGAAGAAATATTAACCATTATTCTACCATGACTTTATTTTATTCTCATCTTTTTTCTGCTCCAAAAGTCAATGGCTAAAATAATATGCATTTACTACATCTTATGAATCCATGCATTGGCTAGGTGATTCTGTTGATCTAGGCCAGGCTCTGCTAATCTTGAGAGCTCACTCCCAGAGCTCTACCCCTCACTGCCACACTATCACTCCCACTTCTGTTCTATTGGATAAAGCAAGTCACAAAAACCAGCCCAGAATCAGAATCAGCAGGGACTACAAAGTTACAGGGCAAAAGCCAAAGCCAGAGAAAGGGCATTAATTAATACCATCAAGACATATAATCTATTGCACTTAATTCCCAGATATAGTGCATCAGTGATTTAATTAACTGAATTATTGAGTGATTCTATTTACTAAGTAACACCAGCATATTTCAAGCAGAATCAAGTACCCTGGAATCTTATATTGGAACAAGCATGAATCTACAATAAAGTAAATGTCATGGGCTTTCAAATAACACACTTCTGGTTTTGCAAGTGGGCTTTTTACTTCTGAACATGGCAAGCCATGACAGCTAGTATGAGCCATACATCAAATGCACTCCGGTCATGTGATTTTTGAAGTTTCCATTCCAGAATGTTCTTACAGAAGGAGCTCAAGACTTTTAATAGTCTAGGATGATGAGTAATTAAGTGTAAAGCTTAAGGACAGAATTGAGGTAGTAAATATCATTATAAAAATTGGTCATCTATCTTGGTTAATTCAGAGATTACATAAGCCAAAACAAGTTAATATTTAGTGGACTGTAAAATTTCACTTGTCTATAATGTTATAGGAATTAGTAATGAGAGAAAGTGGTGAAAACACTTACATATTGTGATTTGTCCACAAAAGGCATTTCTATGGAACTTTGTAGGTCATCCTGCAACAACAGGGACTGCAGCTCCTTGACTCCTATGTGAGCATGGACCACTTTGTCCTTGACAAAGATGCTTACAGCTCTCAGCATGAAAGACACAAACAAGTGCATGTGGATATAGTTCCGTGTGCAATGTAATCGTCTATGGAAAGAAAATGTTCAGTATTTAGATTTGGATGAAATTAGACATAGGGAAAGAAAATACATAAACAAGTCCATACTCTCCTCCAAAAAAAGAAGAAAATACTGTAAGCCTGAACTAAGACAGAAACCCATTACTATCTACTTCCAGTTGAAACAACTGGGATCAAAAACTAAAATGTAACTTTTTGAGAAATAATTTCAAATTCAACCTGATCTACTACTATGTTTATCTTGATTTTGCATAGTTAACTATTATGATATATTATACTAAAGCATTATACTAAAATATATATTACAGTAATAAATGACTAATGGAGAATCATTTTGAAAAGGGATAAACATTATTAAAAACAGAGCTTTCAGGGTTGCCTGGATAACTCAGTCGGTTAAGTGTCTACCTACTGCTCAGGTCATGATCCCAGGGTCCTAGGATGGAGTCCCACATTAGACTCCCTGCCCAGTGGGGAGTCTGCCCTCTCCCCCTGCTTATGCACTCTCAATCTCTCTCTCTCCCTCACTCTCTCTCAAATTAATAAAATCTTTTTTTTTAAATGGAGCTTTCACATTTTCAACACATACTCTACAAGAAAAACTAAAATATTTTGATAACATTACACAACTTTATGTCCTAGTAATATTAAAGAGTAAACAAACTTACTTTAACACAAAACCTTTAACAAAAAGTTTTGCATTTATAAAAGAATCTTAGACACAAGTTAAGTCATAACATACACAGAAGAAGATACAGTATTACTAATTTCCTGTACAAAGAGCTAACTCCAAAAGAGATCTTTTCTTAAGTTTAATGGGAAAATACACTAAGAAAGGGTTGTAGAATCTAACCCACCTCTACCATTGCTTGACTGCAAGACAAGACAATACTTTCCTGTACAAAGATCACCCTATTACTACATCTTTTCCAGAAAGGACAAAGTACACAAGTATAAGAGAGTAAGAAAATATTTTAATCCAATAATATGTTTTTATATTTCATAATATAGCAGGGATAGGCCAACTGAGAATGAGCTAAATTTAGATATTTCAGAAATATCTTGTTAGTATGTTAGGGACACGCATGTAGGTCCATTGTACCCAGACAGTCCTCCTCATTGGTCAATTCCTTTTGGGGAGTGTGTTCACAAGTGAACAGGATTTGACCAGATAGGTTGTCACATATCTGTGGAAATTATTGACCACAAATAGTGCCATCACAGTATACAAATGGATATTGATTTTTAGAAGACTCAACACTATTTACTATCCTAATAAAAAAGCATTTTGTTGTGTGAAACAGAAGAGTTTCTGAAATTTTTGTGTAACATTATGCTATATAGTTTAGCAATTATATAAAAGTATCATATAGAAAGAATTTGTTAAATAGAGTGATAAATTACTATGTAAATTGAAGAATTACTACTTAGTGATTTGTATCCTCCTGAAATTTTATGTAGAAATTTTTTTCTCATAAATATTCATCTATTATTCTGAACAACCAGAGCTACATTTAGTATAATGGAATGAACTCTGAATAGGAATTAGAAGATGAGGTTCTGTTTCCAGCTGTACTACCTATGACCTTGTGACCTTGGACACTGAACTTTAGGTTCTTAGGTCTGTAAAATGGAATAATACTGCCAAGCCAATTTCATGAAACTGTTTTGAGGAACCCCACCATAATTCCACAAATCTGTGTTCCCCTTCTGCTTTAAAAACTTCATGAGCTCCCTATTCTCTACCCTTACAAGATAAAATTCAAAGCCTTTGACAAAGACCTGCAAAGTGCCGCAAAATCTAGTTTCTTCCTAGTCATTCCTATATGGCCACTCCACTCTATGCTCCAAATGTTGCATTCTCATGGGATTCTTCAATGTTCCCAGAGTCTACCCTGCTCCTTTCTGCCTCTGAGTTTTGCACATTCTGTTCCCATCATCTAGAATATACTAAATTCCTTCTCATCATTGAAATATCAGTTCACATGTCAATGTGATCTAGGAAGTCTCCCTCTCTTATCTAGTCAGTTTTAGCCTCTTTGGTCACCTATCCTCATTCTTTTTCCCCATGCATAATTTAACACTGAAGTCTTAAAATGTTATTGCCTTAATTACTATAGCTCAAGACCTTCCATTTCTATCCAATCCTCAATCCGCTGCCCCTGGTCAGGCCACCATCTTCCTTTCCTGAGTTACTCTAACAGCCTCTTCCAAATGGGCTTCCTATCATGCTTCCCACCAACTCACACTCCACCTCACAAGTGACTTTTCATGTCATGCTTCTGCTTAAACTCTTTCAGTGGCTCTTCGTCACTCTTAGGGTAAAGTTCAGATTTCTTCATATAACCCACAGTCTCACTACCCATCACTCATCTGCACCAAAACTCTGAATTCTCAAATATTCCATGTTTTGATCTAAACTTGGGTTTGGAATTCTGTCCCCTGGTATTCTCTTTGGGATACATCTTATTTATAGTCATGCATCTTTTGAAATTTCACTTCATACCCTTACTCTGCCTTCCCAATTACCATACACCACCTGAATCATACCATTTCCCACACTGTATACTAATTGTTTTCTTATTTATGTGTATCACAAACCAGGTGCAAGCATCATGAGTATACATTTCCCATACATGTTGTACACTGCTTTATCTCCATATTGGTGCTCAAAATTTTGTACTGATTTATACCAAATTGAATTGAATTGGGCAAAAGTTTCAGTGGATAAAAAATAAACCATAACAGAAGCAACAAATATGACTTCTTTAGATATAATATCAGATCATTTGGGGGATTATTTAAAATGAATTTCTGTCCAATGGCACCAAAGTCATTTGGGAAAAATGAAGTCTTTGCAACATGAATGAACATTTTTGCAGCTCATTCTGCTCTACCCAGCAACACTTTGCAGACAAATGCACTGTAGTGCAGATCTATAGGCTTAATGGTTTCATAGTGCTTTGATGTTTTTAAAGATTTTTCTTTTAGCTTTTAAACAACACTAAAACCCCTGAATTTCCTCATGAAAAATAAATTTTCGAAGGCAAATAATATTATAACACTAGGCTGAATTCAAAAACTTGTGCTGGGAAAAGTATCTCGGCCAGAAATTGTGAGACCTCACGTCTTCTATGCATAGGACACAGAACCTGTCCCTTCATGGAGAAAGGGATTGGGAATCAATCACTCACCTGAAGTAGCCAATGATGAGAACAGCCACAGCCAAGGAACTGAAGGAGACAGAATATCCAATTGTGTACATGACATAGAGGCGTTCAAAGAATTCTTGCTGAAGGGGAACAGATTTAATTAGAAAAATAACTTTTAACAAGTAGATGTGAATAAACTTAAAAATCATGCTTCTTCCTGTTTAGATAGGCAGTGTGTTAGCACATTTATATAACATAGATTGTTAATCTGGCCTTTCTTTCATTTCCTATGTTCAAGTGAGAGATTTTTTTGGTTTTGTTTGTTTGTTTGTTTGTTTTTCTAATATTTTATTTATTTATTTGAGAGAATGAGAGAGAGAAGGCATGAGCAGGGGGAAGGGCACGAGAAGTAGCAGGCTCCCCACTGAGCAGGGAGCCCCCAACACAGGGCTCCATCCCAGGACCCTGAGATCATAACCTTGAGCTGAAGGCAGAGGTTGTTTTTTTTTTTTTTTTTTTTGAAGGCAGAGGTTTAACTGAATGAGCCACCTAGGCACCCCTCAAATGAGAGTTAAAGATGTAATAATAATAACATGTGGCATTTCTTGTTTTAGTGAGGTCAAATCAAATGTTGCAATATTCACTTAGTGAATTTTTGTGCTGTCCATTTTAGTTATTTGGAATTATATACCTAATGTGATAGTTGAAGTAAACAAAACATGTGTTACAGGGCTATTCTAAGAGGAAACTAGTAAAAAACTTTCATTTTTGGAATATTATTTCTAGTTTTCCTTAAGCTTTTTACTGAGCTGTAATTTACATGAAATAAGATGTACAGATGTTAAGTGAGCACTTTGATGGGCTTTGATAAACCACATTTGCAGCCAAAAAATCACCCACCATTCACTTCCAGGTAACTACTGTTCCAATTTCTGTCAACACAAATTGGCATCAATTGTTCATATACTCAGTGTACTTTTTGACTATTCTTAGCCTTCTTAGAATTAGATAACATATACTTAGTATATACTCTTTTTGTCAATATACTGTGCAATTGTTCTGTATCTCAATTGTAGCACCAGTTACAAAAGTTTACATATGTGATGAAATGACAGAACTATAACACACAAATGGCACCATGTCAGATTTCTCCCTCCGATATTTTAGTATAATTATGTTAGGATGTAACCATTGGAGAATACCAGGTGAAGGATAAATGGGGCTTTTTTTACTATCTTTTCCAGTTCTTGTGAATTTATAATTATTTTTAAAAATTACAAAGGAATGGACCATTGATTCATGCAACAATATTGATGAATGTCAAAAACAGATGGAGTCTTAAAATTGTACTGCCTTAATTACTATACCTCAAGACGTCCCATTTCTATCCAGTCCTCAAAAGCCATTGCCTTTGGCCAGGCCACCATCTTCCTGTCCTCAGTTACTCTAACAGCCTTTTCCAAATGGGCTTCCTATCATGTTTCCTACCAACTCACACTCCACCTCACCAGTGACCTTCCGTGTCACTCTTCTGCTTAAAATCCTTCAACGGCTCCTCATCACTCTTAGGGTAAAATTCAGATTTCTTTATATAACCCACAGGTCTCAAAACATTCTCCATTTACCATTGTACACTTGAAGGCTTTGAAGACCTGCCTTGTGCTGTCCTTTAAAGTTACCCATAGACCCCTCTTCCCCAGCTTCCCTGACACCTAGCAACCATTAATCTGTTTTCTACCTCTGTAATTTTGTCATTTCATAAATGTTATAGAAATGGAATCCTCCAGTATGTAACCTTTTGATATTGGCTTTTTTCACTTACAATAATGACCTCAAGATCCATTCAAGCTATTGTATAGGTCAAGTTTGTTCCTTTATAATGCTGAATATTATTGCTTTGTATGTATGTAACCTAGGTATATCAGTATATATAAAATGTTTCCAACTTTGTAGACTGCATACATTTGGGTCATATTTTTTAATAGATTCTTTCAATCTCTGTTTACTGGTATAATTAGATCATTTTTTAAATATAATATTGCTATGTTAAGGCTAAGTCCATCACTTTATTTTTTTATTTTCTGTTATTCTATTTTTCATTTATGTTTTATTTTTCCTGCCACCCTGTGGGTTACTTGAACATTTTGCAGAATTCTATTCTGATGTCCCTTTTCAAACACTTTTGGTTGTTGTTCTTGATATTACATTGTACAACTTAATGTGAAGACTTTGATTACTGAATGCTTACCTTTCTTCTTTCCTAATTAAGCTATAATTAAGCATATAATTGAGCTATAATATAATTAAACAAATAATAAGCTATAAAACTCTTAAAGTCTGCTTTTGTAGTTTCTCCCACTTTTTTGATATATTCAGCTTTCATAAGTATTCAGTTCAAACTTTTGCCATGGGTCACACATATATTTTCCAACAATTTGTGAATTGTCCATGTATTTTATTTTAATTGATTTTCAATTAGTTCTTTTGTAGTCAGAAAATACACTCTGTATGATTTTAATCTTGAGATTTATTGACACTTCTTTACAGTCCAGTGTATGTCCAATCTTGAAGAAACTTTGATGTGTAATTTCAAAGAATGTGAATTTTGTTGTGTTTGGTGATTGTATTCTATAAATGGCATTTTCATCAAATTGTGTGAAAGATATCCTATGGGTGTTTTTGTCTAATTGTTTTACCAATTACTGAGAGAATGGTATTTTCATAAATTCCAACATCGTGGGACCTGACCATGTCTCCATTTTGCTTTGACAATTTTTGCTTTATGCAATATGAAGTCCCTAAAAGCATGCATATTTAGGATCATTACTTCTTGCTGGTAAATGGATTCTTTAACCATTCTGACATGGCCTTCCACCTTAGTAATACTCTGCCTTGAAGTCCACTTAGCAACACCAACCTTTCTTATGCTGAGGGTATGCATTGCATTAACTCATCCACCCTTTTAATTTTGATACATCTATTATCTTCACATTTATCTGTATTTTTATAGAGTACATTTCTTACAGACATTATATACCTAAGTCATACATTTATTACCCATTCTATCTTAAGTGATTGTTAAGTTCATTTAACACTGAGCACAATCATTGCTATAGTTGGGCTTAAAAATAACACATTGGTACTGGCATTCTAGATGTCCTATCTTTGTTCATCTGTACCTACTTTCTTACCTTCTATTCGGGAGGTGGTGTCATCAAGCATTTCTTAATATTTCGCTTGTGTTATTTTTTAGCAATTATGCATCCTGAATTTATCAGAGCCTCCATTTAAGTAATATTGAACTATTTCACAAACGACTTAAAACGTTTACAAATGTATACTCAGTTTTGCTCCCTAGCCTTTGCCCTTTTAGATTTTGTCTACATAGTGCTTGCTTTGGCAGTACATATAATAAATTTTGCCTATTAATTTATAAACCTTTGTGAGACTATTATGATTGCTTTAAGCAGTCAGTAGACTTTTAAATGAATTATAGATAAAGATATAAAGAAAGACATAAGTACAGTAATAAATAAGGATAAGAATATAGTTTTGTTTACTGTTTTAGTCTGTCATTTTTATCCATATATACATATATATATACCCATTCTGGTCCTCTTCATTCCTTCCTACCAATCTATGTTCTCATCTGGCATATTTCTCTTTGACCTAGAGAACTTTCTTGAGTATTTCCTATACTGAAGGTATGATGAAGATGAATCCTCTCATATATTTTCTGTCTGAAAAGTATCATTATTTTACCTTTATCTTTTTGCATATTATCACCTTAAGGATGTCATCCCATTATATTCCAGCCTCCTTTAGGCATCTTTTTTATTACTGTTCCCAATGTGCCCTTATACTCTGCCTTTAAGTTTTCTTTTTACTGTGATTTATAGCAGTTTAACCTATATGTTGTATCTATATATGATGTATCTAAGTATGATTTTATTTTATCCTGTCTTGCATTTGCTAAATTTCTGAAATATATGGGTAGATTTATTTCACCCATTTAGAAAATTCTTGGCCATTGTCTCCTCAAATATTTATTTTGTCCAATTCTCTGTAGTTACCTCTAATTTCACATTGTTAAACAATTATATGTTGTCTCACAAGTCTCAGATGCTTCCAATTTTAATTTATTTTTTTTCTCCTGATGCTTTGGTTGGAAGATTTCTATTGACTTCTCTTAAAAGGCATTAATCTTTTATCATGCTGTATCCAGTATGCTGTTGAGCAAATCAAATGGATTCTTCATTTTTGGATTGAATATTTCAATTTTAGAATTTCCATTTTGGTTTGGTTTAGTTTTGGGTTTTTTTGAAGTTTTTATTTCTTTGATTTTTCCCATCTCTTTTACATACCTTCTCACCAAATCATCTAACATATTTAAAATAGTTATTATTAAGTATTTATCTGCAAATTCTAACATCTGGATCATCTGTTTTTTTCTGCTCTTATTTTTACTCCAGATTTGGGAGCCCTGCCTTGTAATTTTGTATCACACTCCAGGCCCTGTAAGTAAAAGAATGATAGAGACTGAAGTATTTGGTGTCAACTGCCTGAAAAGGCAGGCCTATTCCTCCATCAGGCTTCTTGGGTAGGGAAGCTGGATTACTCTGTTGTTAACTAAGTTGAGCTTTGTTGTAGTTTTTGTTTTATGTTTCTTGTGATCCTTTTATCCTGGTTTAGGTTTTGAGCCCAGAATCAAGACTCCTTCAGCAGACCTCGAGATCTTAGCGTTGGCAGCCTCTAGTGGCCATTTTATGGATTTTTGTTCACCTGACATTTTCCAAGCCATAGAACTTTTGGTGCTCTTTGAACCATCGTCAGATTTTTGAGTTGCTAGGGATTTTACTTTGCTCTCCTGCCCTTCCCTGGCATGCAGTCTGTAGCAATCATGCTCCATATGTGTCTTCTGTCCCATGCCTTTGACTAACTGCTGCATTTCACTCTGAGTACTTCGCAGCTCTCCCAGAATTTCTCTTACCCTACCTCTGCTGTCCCAGCCTTTGGCACATGGCCTCCACTCCCATGGGTAAAAACTGGCTGGTTGGTGATAGTGCACTGTGAATGGGCTCACTTCTTGAGATTCTAAGCCTGTATGCCAACGCTTGTCTATTAAAAGTTGATTTAAGGGGCACTTAGGTGGCAATTGGTTAAGTGGCAGATTGTTGGTTTCAGCTGAAGTCATGATCCCAGGGTCTTGGGGTCCAGGCCCATGTCCAGGTCCAAGTCCTTCACCGAGTCTGGCTCAGCAGTCTGTTTCAGGATTCTCTCTCTCCTTTTGCACCCACCCCAAGCTCACTTGTTTTCTCTCTCTCTCCCTCTAAGATAAATAAATCCTTAAAAAAAGAAAAAAAAAAAAACTGTTGGTTTAAGAGCCTGGCTCTTTTCTTTCCATCTCTTTCTATGACCTGGTTGTTCCTCTTCTGCTATAGACCCAGGGACAGATAGCAGTCATGGGTCTCTTCTCTTATAGGAAGGGCTTGCCCACTTCTAGAAATGGGATCATTTAGACTTCTTGGCATCCTCAGCTCACTGATGAAATGTTACAAATTACTGATTTTGCATCTTACTTAATCTGTTCCTACTGTCACAACTTCCAGCATCCTAATTGAAGGCAAAAGATTTTGCCTTTTGTTCCTTTTTTAAAAAAATTATTATTAGCAGTCAATAAAATACTAAAACATTTTATAGAAAATATTTGGGAATGCCTGGGTAGCTCAATCAGTTAAGCATCAGTCTATTGGTTTCAGGTCAGGTCTTGACCTCAGGGTCATGAGTTCAAGCCCCACTTTGGGCTGGGTGTGGAGGACTACTTAGGAAGGAAGGAAGAAAGGAAGGAAGGAAGGAAAAAAAGAATATATTTGGATAATGTGTGAAACACAAAAGAGGGCGGAACCTCCCAAATTCCTACCAGCCAAAAAGAAACACTTCATGTATTTCTTTTTATTCTATCCCTATGCAGCATTTTCCATTGTTTTAAGCATCTACATTCCCAATTTATATATAACTTTATGACCTGATTTTTTTTTTCTGTTAACTGTATAACAAAGGAAATTTCTAAGGCCACAGACTCTTTACAAAAAACATTTATGTGAGTTTATTTAAACTTCTCTGGAAGGTTCTTCACTGGAAACTTAAATTCTTTAGAATATTCACTACAAAAATTAATAGTTCAATGAACATTCTGTCCACTCAATTCCCCACACTCCAAATTCTTATACTTGACTCTTAGAAGTAACTTCATAAGATCAAAAGATATGACCGCTTTGAAGTTGTTTTAATACACATTGCTAAATTGTTTTCCAGAAGTTCATTTAACCTTTAAACAGGAGATGGATTATATGGTAATTTCTGCAGTAAGCTGTTGTTTTAAATATAATTCTCTAATGAATTTAATAAACCTATGGCCTATCAGAAGAGTTCTTTTCCCATCTTTTTATTAAAAGTAACTGTCTCTTATAAAGAACTTACCCAACTCAACACCTAAAGAACAAATAATCCAATCAAGAAATAGACAGAAGACATGAATGGACATTTCTCCAAAGACCTCCAAGTGGCCAACAGACACATGAAAAAGTCCTCAACATCACTTGACATCAGGGAAATACAAATCAAAAACACAATGAGATACCACACCAGTCAAAATGACTAAAATTAACAAGTCAGGAAATGACAGATGTTGACAAGGGTGTAGAAAAGGTAAGCCCTCCTACACTGTTGGGGGAATGCAAGCTGGTGCAGGCATTCTGGAAAACAGTCTGGAGACTCCTCAAAAAGTTGAAAATAGAGCTAACCTATGACCTAGCAATTGCACTACTAGGTATTTACCCAAAAGATACAAATGTAGTGATCTGAAGGGGCACTTGTACCCCAATGTTTATAGCAGCAATGTCTACAATAGCCAAACTATGGAAGAGCCCAGATGTCCACTGACAGATGAATGGATAAAGGAGAAGTGGTACACACACACACACACACAAAAACACACAGAGGAATATTACTCAGCCATCAAAAAGAATGAAACCTTGACATTTGCAGTGACATAGATGGTATTAGAAGATATTATGCTAAGCAAAATAAGTCTGTCAGAGAAAGAAAATTATATGATCTCACTGATTTGTGGAATTTAAGAAACAAGGCAGAGGATCATATAGGAAGAGAGGAAAAGATGAAACAAGATGAAACCAGAGAGGGAGACAAACCATAAGAGACTCTTAATCCTAGGAAACAAACTGAGGGTTGCTGGAGGAGAGAGGGGTAGGGGGATGGTATAACTGGTTGATGAACACTGGGAAGGGTATGTGTTATAACGAGCACTGTGTATTATATGAATCACAGATCTGTAACCCCTCAAACAGATAATACATTCTAAGTTATTTTAAAAAATAATAAAATATGAAAGCTAAAAAATAAATAAATAAATAAAAGTAAGGGCCTCATTCTGTCAAGCCAACAATAAGGAAATTATCTTAGGAAGAAGACAATAGTGTTTAAAAAATCTTAGTCGTATTTCCCTCCAATAAAGATGTTGATTCTCAATGCACACCTTTTTGTTTTTTAATTTATTGTTCCTCCTAAAAAACTTTCATTACTGGACACCTGAGTGGCTCAGTCACTGAAGCATCCGCCTTTGGCTCAGGTCATGATCCTGGAGTCCTGGGATTGAGGCCCATACTTGGGGGGGGGGGTCCCCTGCTCAGCAGGGAATCTACTCCTCCCTCTGCCCCTCCCTCTACTCCTGCTCTCTCTCTCTCTCTTTCTCAAATAAATTTTAAAAATCTTTTTTAAAAAAAGAAGTCCTGACTATTAGTGCAAAATCAAAGAAATCTTCAACTCACTGCTTCCCCTACTATTCTCCCTATACCCAACCTCCAGCGGGAAAAAAATAAAACCAAGCATAAAGAAAAATGTCTAATGCCGGTACAGTGTATGTAGGATAGACTGTTCTCAGGATCCCCATAAAAGCCATTTTCACATCCATGTATCATATTAACTCCTAACATCATATGCATATATCATCATGCATTTTACTCACAAGGTCTGAGTGATAGGAATTTAAGCATGACTTAAAGGACCACGTATCAGCTAAAATTGACTATCTAGGGTTTCCAACGTTTTCATATGATTGTTACATTGCAAATAGCACTGATCAGGTATTTGGAGATCAGGATTCAGCTGTAGATCCTGTCATCAGTGAGCTGAGTCACTCTAACACCTAATCTCTGGTTCTGAGTTTACTCATGTGTAAAATTAAGGTGTCATCTGGAAGACCTATGGGATGCCACTTGCTTCTCCTTAATTCTACAACTCTAATCTTTCATATACTAATAATATCACCTACTGGCCAATCTTACAAAATGACAAATACATCTTTAAAATACAAATCTCCTTTAGGAATACAGAGTGAAATGAGATGTAGCCATTCATAGGTAACAAAAAAGAAATCATAAATCATGTTGCTGACTACCTATTTTGATTTTGAAGTAAAATATAATGCAATATAGCATAATGTAATATAATATAAATATAATGTACTATAACATAATACACACAAACACATATTTATAAGTATATATGCATGTATCTTAGCCAGATAACTCTAACCTAAAGAAAATACCAGAATGTTTCAGGTCCTACACCATTCCTTAACCAGATAGCTAAAAAGATTCCAATCTTGTTTTTTATCTTTTAGAACATTTGTGTTCTAGAATAAAGGGGTTTTTATATATAATAGTTGGCAATCAAGAAATGCATAAAAATATTCCATTTTCCCTGGGGGGTTCACAAATACAAAAATTATCATTACCTTTCCTATGCCGATATCTGGCTGCATAAAGCGAAGGCAGTCTGAATAATTAGCCCATGTTTTATTTAAACTGTACATAAAATCCCATGTTCCATTGGGGTTACAGTGTCGAAAAGCAACTCCTGTAAAGACATGAAGGAAAACATCAAGATTGCTCAATGCTCTTGGCTTTCACTAGGAAAAAAAAAGTATCTTTCTATTCCAAATTAATTATTTCAGAAAAATTCAATACCTTTATGATTGAAGTCATAAATATAAGGAGGGCACGGGACAGCCAGTATTTTCCCCACTGTTCCTCTGGGCCAACAAATGAGTCCATCCCATTCTGGGAAACAATTTCCCTCTAATAAAAAAAATTAAAAAATAAATAAACAAAAATGCAATTGGAACCAGACACTAAGTACACTCAAAATACAAAATCTCAGGTCTCTAACTGCAGCAAAATATAAAACAAATTGGTAGTTATGGAAACTAGAATGGGGTAGATATGACATAATTGTCCTAATTTCTATCCACCTTGCCACGTTAAAGGTCCATTAATAGAAACATTTGATTTGCAGAAATTAAAAATATTTTCGTGATTCCACTCTATGTGAATTATAGCAATTAATATATAAGAAACATTGGAATTCATTGTGAACAACCATAGTAAAATTCTATCACAGTTCTAGATACATTTTTACCCTAGATTTTTAAAAATTGCTGTTAAAAAGTATATGTGAAACAGATTGAGATTCCCAGTAAGCTCCAAGATTTGAGTTTGCCTTTTTACCAATAATTCTTTTTTTTTCTTTTCACCAGTAACTCTAGTAATTTGTTTGAGCCTAACCCTCATCTCAAACAAAATTCTCACAAGCTCTACTCTCCTTAAGAATCAAGTATAAAGATTTGGAGTGGGAGGTACTGAACGGACAAAATGCATCCAGAACCCGAGTAGTTCTCATAACCTCCATTGCCACATCCACGGTCAAAACTCGTCAAACCATGATATTCACACAGAAAAATCTAGAATTTGGAAACTTCAACTTTGTCTCTTTTCAGTTCTATAACTGAACTGATATTACAATGTAACCGTAACACAGAGAAACCAAACATTTGTGAAGTTGAACCAGGATGAATAATATTTTGAGTTTTGCTTTTAACTACTTGAATCATTTTATAACTAGGTATTTGCATTTACATTCTGTTTTCTTTCATAGACATAAGGAAAATTTTTATTACAAAAATTTTTTCAGGGGAGCCTGCGTGGCTCAGTCGTTAAGCATCTGCCTTCAGCTCAGGTCTTGATCCCAGAATCCTGGGATCAAGCCCTGCATTGGGCTTCCTGCTAGGCAGGAAGTCTGCTTCTCCCTCTCCCACTCCCCCCGTTTGTGTTCCTGCTCTCACTGTGTCTCTGTGTCAAAAATTTTTTCATAAATAAAGCAAAATATTGTGTACACACACACACACATGCACACCTCTACCTAGAATTGACACTTGCTTATATTTTTATCATATTTATTTCATCTATTTGCTCTTTGCTGTGGTATTTTAAAGTAAATTGCAGACAGCATAACGGATCACTCTTAAATCTTTTGATACCTATCTCTCAACTTTAAGGGAATTTCAAAGTGGAAATTTCTTAAATTAGCTAACGAATTCAAAATGCTGTTCTAGTTTTTCACACATAAGTTGAAGAAATCTCTCATTGAAAGGTAAATCTGGTCTTCCTGGTTCCACTCTTGCTCTCCTTTCATTCATTCACATAATAAGCCAAAATCTTCCAAAGGCTTCCCATCTCACTCCCAGCAAAAGCCAAGTCTACAAAATCTGAAAGCCCTTCAAGATCCTCTTTCCCCCATACTTCTCTCCCTGACCTGGTTCTGCTAAGGTCCTCCTAGCTCTCCCTTCACTTCAGTCCTTTCAGCAGATGGCCTTAAGGTTTATTCCCGTTCACCCTACAGACTTTTACTCAGATCACTTCTAAGTAAACTTTCCCCATTTATATTACCTTCAAAACTTGCCTTATCCCCTTTCCTTCTATGCTTTTTACCTGAGCTCTCATCACCTTCCAATAGGAACTGTTATTTTATTATGGTTTCTTAAACCACAGAAACCCTGAAGGTGGGGAATTTTGTCTGTTTTGTAGCCAGTCCTAGGCAGGCGCTTAACAAATATTCAGTCAGAGTCAACACTGTGTGTTCTTCAGGACTGCTCTCCATTAGTTGTGTATTGAACTTCCAAGAAGAGAGCATATCCTCCATTTGAAAATGAGATTACTTTTAATGCGTGTTGTATTCATGTTTCTATTGCTACCATAACAAATTACCACAAACGTAATGGCTTCAAATAACCCAAACTTATTATCTCACTAGTTCTTTAAGTCATAAGCCCAGTGAGTTCAACTAGGACTGAGTTCCCCATTTCCTTGAGGGTGATCAACTTCTAGAAACCACTTATATTCCTTGGTTTATGACTCCTTTCCTCCATCTTCAAAGTCAGCAAGACAAGCTGACACGTCTCCTCATGTCTCTCTTCCACTCTCCTTTTCCCCTCCTGATTCATCCACCACACACACCACATTGGACCCATCCAGATAATCCAGGATAATCTCCCTACTTTAAGGCCCATAACTATAATCCCAGCTGCAATGTCCTTGCACCATTTAACATAGCATATACACAGGCATAACACCAGGTATTGGGGTATGGACATTTTGGGGGACCCTTATTCTGTTACAATTATAGCTCCCTCAATTTTTTAGTTACCAATTACACTACAGTAGCTGAGTAATTTTCTTCTAGCTGATGTTCATGATGTCGAGTTGTTTGTTCAGTTTTGAATAGTCATGCAAACCCTGATCTATACAGAAAAGAATTCAGCATAAACCTGAAATTAATTTCTTACTGTCCTCCATATCACATGGAAACAAATAACCTGATTTGCTTTGGGGATTGCTGAAGCAATAAGAAAAAAGAAACGTCTTCCCTCACTCACACTGTTCTTATAGAAGAGAGCATTTTCTTGGAAACAGCCTCACTTTGCCCACACAATAAAAGCCTGTGCTTCACATATCACAAGCAACCCAGGAACCCATTATACTGGCTCTTGCTTCTGGAGCATGGCTTCACCAGCTTCTTTCCCCCATTATCTGTGTTTTGTTTTTCTTTCTTGTTCAAACAGAGTGCAATGAATCAACCCCTTCCACTAACCTTACCCTAGACATTCTTCTGTATCTTGCTACCATTCCATATGGCTTCCATATGACATTCACTTTGTCTTTAACAAGACATGCATCCTCATTGACCTGTACTTGTTCAATCTTTTACCAGAGACCTATTGTACAATCTACCAAAATTGAACCTGGACACACATTCTTGAGTTCCAAAAACTAGCTGTCCCTCCAAAATGTATGCTGCAGGGGTGCCTGGCTGACTCAGTCAGTTGGTACCCAACTCTTGATCTTGGCTCAGGTCATGACCTCAGGGTTGTGAAATCAAGCCCAGCGTAGGGCTCTGCACTGAGCACAGAGCCAGCTTGGGAATCTCTATCTCCCTCTTCCTCTGTCCCTCCCCACTACTTGCATTCTCTCTCTCTCTCTCTCTAAAACAGATACATAGATACATAAAATGTATGCTGCAATATCCTGATACTTTCTGGCAAGAGTTAGTTAACATGATGGAATAAGGTCTTCGTACAAGTTTAAAATTCATACAAGTTTAAAACCCAATGACCATTTATTTTATAATTATGTAGTTTTAAGCCACTATGGAGATAAATCTGCTGTATTTTCCTCATGCTCTAAAGGGGATAATTTTCTAGTTCCCTACAAGATACCTCACACACATACACACACACTCCCCAAAATTCAGAAAACCAACATTCCTCAAAAATAATGTTTCTGTGGATTATGTTCATCTCTCTGGTGGCTCTTTGACAAACAGTATAATAAATATCCACAAACATTGAAAAAATTGAGGAAGCCATGGCCTCACACAGCTAATACAGAGATCTTAATTAACATCTACTCTTTGATCATCATTTCACATCCTATGTGAGTAAATACTTTCACCAGTTACCAAGAAACTAATTAATTGCCTGATGATTCACCAATCTCTCTTTATAAATTAACACCATTAATTATATTCCCTGTCATCTTTTGTGTATGCCAGGACAAACTACTTATTAGTGATGTTGTCATACTATGATCTTTACACAGAACAGTCTAAAATTTGGAAACTCCAACTTTGTCTCTTTTCAATTCTATAGTTACCCATAATACAGTGTAACCATACATTTGTGAAGTCACACTGGGATCAACAATACTTGGGGTTTTGTTTTTAACTACTTGAATCATTTAATAGCTAGGTATTTGAATTTATACTTCCTCCACTTTCATAGACATGAGGAAAAATGGTATTTTCTTTTTATTACAATTTTTTTCACAAATAAGTCAGAGAATATTTTATGTATATAGAACCTGGAATTGACACTTGATAATATTTTGCCATATTTATTTCATCTATTTTATGAAGACACAAAGGGTCTGAGAAGGTCCTATATTTATCTAATTAGTGTTCCAATGGAAAGACTAGGAAAATGGGAGAGAACAAAGTTTCAAAGACAAAATAGCAAACCATTCCCATGAATGACTGAAAGACATAGATCCTCAGACTTCAGAAATTAAATGAATCCATACCTAGATACAGACTAAAGCTGCAGAACATCAAATACAAAGAAAATCTCTTAAAAGGAGCCAGAGAGAAAAAAAAACTAATCATCAACAAAGACTGAAAACTGATTTGTCACCAATAACAACAGAAGCTACAGTAAAATGAAATAATATTCAGACACTAAAAATAAATAATTCTCAACCAAGAATCATATGTCCAGAAAAAGTATCTTTGACAATTGAGACTGAAATAAACACCTTTTCAGACAAACACTGAGAGCGTTCACTGAAAGCAAGTTCACAAAAAGATATATTTCATCTTGAAGAAAAATTATAATATATAAGATAAAACTATATGACTTTATTAATATAAAATTATATGACATAGCATATAATTTGGAAGTAATTAAAGTATTTCAAATTGCTTATATTATTCAAGAGGAAGAAGTTATAAACTTTAAATGTTCTTAAATTAAGTATTTGGAGATTAGAATGAAGTAGATCAAACCAGATATCTCATTATAGGGCATAGCTTTTTTTTTTTTTTTTTTTTTTTTTTTAGAGAGGGAGAGGTGGGCGCAGGGGCAGTGGGTAAGTGAGAGAGAAAATTTTAAGCAGGTTCCACATCCAGTGCAGAGCTCAATCTCACAACCCTGAGATCATGAACTAAGCTGAAATCAAAAGTCTGAGGCTTAACTAACGGAGCTACCCAAACATCCCCAGGGCATAGCTTTTATTTTTATTTTTTATTTAAATTCAATTTAGCTAACATATACTGCATTATTAGTTTCAGGGGTAGAATTTAGTGATTCATCAGTTGCATATAACACGCAGTGCTTATTACATCAAGTACCCTTTTTAATGTCCATCATCCAATTACCTCATCCTCACACTGACCTCCCCTCCAGCAACCTTCAGTTTATTTCCTAGAGTTAAGAGTCCCTTATGGTTTGCCTCTCCCACAGATTTCATCTCATTTTATTTTTCCTTCCCTTCCTCTTTGTTCATCTGTTTTGTTTCTTAAATTCCACATATGAGCGAAATCATATGGTATTTGTCTTTCTATGACTTATTTCTCCTGGTATAATACTTTCTGGTTCCATCCATGTCACAGCAAATGGCAAGATTTCGTTCTTTTTGATGGCTGCATAATATTTCATTATATAAATATATACATACATCTTCTTTATCCATTTATCTGTCAATGAAAATTTGGGCTCTTCCCATAGGTTGACCATTGTGGACACTGTTGCCATAAACACCGGGGTGCAGGTGCCCCTTCGGATCACTATGTTTGTATCCTTTAGATAAATACCTAGTAGCGCAATTGCTGCATCATAGGGTATCTCTATTTTTAACATCTCCATACTGTTTTCCAGAGTGGTTGTATCAGATTTCATTCCCACCAACAGTGAAGGGGGTTCCCCTTTCTCCACATTCTCACCAACATCTGTTGTTTCCTGACTTGTGAATTTTAGTACAACATAGCTTTAGAGACATCTGCTGCATTCAGATTGTTGAGAATTTAGGGAAGCTCAGTAAATAGCACCTCCCTTTAAAAAAAAAAATTCCTAAATTATACTCAACTATCAAGGCAAGGCATTTTCCCATATAAAACATTATAATTTACCTATTACTCCAAAGATTCCAATAAATAATTTTTCTCAATGGTCCCAATAAGAACTACGAGTCATCACCAGGCCCTGAGGAGAATAAGCCACAGGTTCCTGTGCAATTATAACAGCAGAGTAACCCCAGGAGTACAAAAGCCACCACAAGCTCACCTGTAGTATTGTTTTGCTTTTCTAGTTCCCCACTTGAATGTGGAACTAGTTGAGAAATAACACAGAAAGTCGGGCATATGGAAATTAAATAATCATTTTACTAAAAAGAAAAAATGTTTTGAGAACAGGGCCTAGGTACATATAAAAGGGCCTGCTTATTTGTTCTTCTAATATTTATATACACTACCAAACTGCAAGCAAGACACACAAGAACAGAGCCTGTCCCTCCAAGCTTACTACCTGGTTGAGGGCAAACCAGGATGTATGCTGTCTGCAAGCAAAGAGATCCCAAAAAGAGGCCTGAGAAAGAGACTGATGTGCACGTGCCCAGCTGCTATTCTGAAACTCTAAAGTCAGGCAAGTCATTCTGTCCACAGGGAGGGAAGAGCTTGTGGTTAAAGAAATGAAAAGAGGGCGCCTGGGTGGCTCAGTGGGTTAAAGGCTCTGCCTTTGGCTCAGGTCATGAACCCAGGGTCCTGGGATTGAGCCCCGCATCGGGCTCTCTGCTCAGCTGGGAGCCTGCTTCCTCCTCTCTCTCTCTGCCTGCCTCTCTGCCTACTTGTGGTCTCTGTCAAATAAATAAAATCTTTAAAAAGATAAAAAATTAAATTAAATTAAAATTAATTAATTAATTTAATTAAAAACTTTTTAAAAAGAAATGAAAAGAGCATGGTTCTGCTACATGATCCTTCACATGGAAACATGGAATGAGTGATGAGGAATACCCAACTGCTACTTAAAAGGGGAATTTGAGTATTTTTGAGAACTGGGGTGGGGACACAAGACGACATGATTTTTAGCACCTTTACCTCCTTCCTGAAGCTGAGCTGTGATGTTGAGCTCACACTGTACTTTAGCTTTCAGCACAAGGACAATCTGCTCCTCTATCGTAATAGTGCCATCAGAATCCAGCTGGGGAAATAAAAAAAATACAAACAGAAAAACATTCCCATTACCTCTTTTTTAAACCATGATATAATATTTCATTATCTACCTTCTAATACTGTTGAAAATTAAAGTTTTGATATCCTGCTATCTGGAATAGTCTTTTATCTGAGTCAAACTTTCTACGAAGTACCTTTCATTCCCACCCTGGAACATGCACCTAACATACAAGTGAATAATGAATTCTAATTGAATGAGTTCACCTAGGTTTGGCTTTAATACCACCAGCAATGGAGAAGAAATTCTACTTTGGAAAAACCTTCATTTCAATGAAATACATTTTATCTTAACTATGACAAAACATTCATAAATGTTTGTTCAAAGTATGGTGCTTGGACAGCCTGAATCTGAGGCACATATAAAGCGTAGATCCTTAAGCTAATTAAGGATCAGATTAAGATCAGATTTAGTGAATCAGAATTTATTTCTGGAGGTGGCAACTGGTAATCCCCATGTTTCACAGGAACCCTTTATGGTTCTGGCACCAACTTTAATAAGTTTGAAAACCAGCATATGTGAAGGTACAGGATAATGGTAAAGATCATTATATTAGTCAAGCTTCAATCAGAGAAGCAGAACTATTAAGAGATTAAGATAAATTACAAAGAAATATAGGTAGAGATAGAGATAGAAAAAGTACTTGTTACAGGGATTTGACAATTTGACTAAAGTATTGTGGAAGTTGTGTAAAAAACTTCTAAAGGTTTTTTTTTTTTTTTTTTTATCTGATGCAGGAGCTAGAAATCTGCAGGTCAGGAAATCAAAAAGAGAAGATAAATGTAAAGGGAGGAAGAATAAGAACAAACTGGAACCATGAGCATGAGCTAGAAACCGTAAGGACATACTAAAGTACATGTGAATTCTTGTCGCCTCTAACCTTCATGTTGCTGGTGTCCTGAAGAAGCTGGCATTCTTTATCATGGACCTAAACACACACTTAACCCAAGAATCAGAGAAGTTAAAGGAGGACCCAGGAAAAGATGAAAGAGCTGCAGGCCTGGCTACTGTCCTTCCCCAGTGAGATGAGCCCAAATATAAGCAACAATGTGTGTGAGATACGAAAGTACCTGCCTTGACCATCTGAGTGTAAAAAAACAAAATGGCTGCTGCTTCACTTCTGCCCACCAGTGCTCATGAAAAAATGTCTTGTGTGTCACTCTAACCAGAAACATAAAGGTAATGGGAATTCTGGGGTATACATTTTAACATAACCAAACTGACATATTACAAAGTCATCAAAATCCACCTCTGCCGACTTGGCACCCATACACATCTCTTCAAGCCACAGTGAACTTCCAGAAAACTCAATAACAAAGTCATGCTTCATGGTACAATCCACTTGATACAAAGCGTGATTCCAAAAGAAAAGAATTTTAAGTAGAAAAAGTCTGTATTCATCATCTCTAGCTATGTAACAAATTTACCCAAAACTCTTTGGCTTCAAACAACAAACATTAATTATCTCACAATTGAGAGAGGCTTAGCTGGGTGGTTCTGGGCTCAGTCTCTTAAGAGATTTCAGTTAAAACTTCAGCTATAGACGTTGTCACACAGACCTGACTGGGACTAGAGAATCCACTTCCAAGATGATGCCCTCACACAGCTATTGGCAGAGGACTTCAGTTCCTCAGTGGCTGATGAGAAGAAATGTTAGTTCCTCACCACACAGTTCTCTTCATATGGGTGCCTGAGTGTCTTTACAACATGACAATTGGCTTCCCACAGATGAGTGATTCCAGAGAGAAAGCAAGGGGAAACCCACTATGTCTTTTATGATCTAATCTCAGATGACACTCATGGTCATTCCCATCATATTCCATTAGCTAAAAGCAAGCCACCAAGTCTCACTTAAGAGGAGGGGAATTAATCTTTATCTTTTAAAGAGAGATATCAAAAAATTTATAAATATATCTTTAAACAACCACAAATTTCTATAGGTGGTCCATAGAAAGAGGATACTGAGTATTATGGGTTTTGTAGATTTATTAATAATCAAGGGTCCAGGGGAGCCTGGGGAGGCTCAGTTGGTTAAATGTCTGCCTTCAGCCCAGGTCATGACCCCAGGGTCCTGAGATCCAGCCCCATGTTAGGCTCCCTGCTCAGCGGGGAGTCTGCTTCTCCTTCTCCCTCTTCCTCTGCCCCTCCCCTGCTCATGGTCACTGTCTCTCTCTCTCAAATAAATAAATAAAATCTTTAAAACAATAATTATTAATAATGATGATGATGATAGAATCCAGAGCTTTGCATTTCTGTCTCTCTGTAGGCGACTTAGAAATTCTTAAATCAAATGAGAAGGTAAAACTCATCAATTTACCTAAGTAACCAACTCCCAATAATACAACACTTTGCGTACCCCAAATCTTTAATTTCAGGCTGCAAATACTTATTTTCTAAAACCATTCATTAAGGAACATGGGAAAACAACCCTTTTTATGTTTTGCAGTAAGACATTATGGATTAAACAACAGAAATAGAAAGATGTTTATATTATTAGCCATAAGAACCCAGAGATTATGACAATTATGATTTTAAATAACATAAAATGACAACCTGGCAGGTTAACTTCAAATGGAGAATATGGAAAAAATAATCTATCATAAGAACTAGTTTCAGAATAAAAAAAGTCTTGTTCCTGAAAATTATGAGTTTATTTCCCAAGATATTTATAATACAAAGAGCAGTTCAGTGAATAGTCTGGTATATAGTTTTAGAGACTTTTGAATAATATTCATAGTTCAGTGCTCACATTTAATGATATTTATGAAAGGAGACAATAAACAAAAACTAATTTTTTGGATTGGAATAGACACCATAATTTAGTCATCAGGCAAACACAATGCAGATCCTGACTTAAATGTAACTACACTAAAAATGAGCTATAAAAAACTCACTTATCCAGAAGGGAGAATGAAATGTGGGCCTGATGAACCATCTGGGTAGCATGGTAGTGAAACTGACTTCTCATTCATTATCCAGAAACAGCCAAGCACCATTCATTTTTTTTGTTGTTCTGTTTTCCGGCTGGTTTTTTCTTTGTTTGTTTTTTCAGTTCAATAACTATTTTATTTTACTTCAATCCTAGAAAAACACTGGGTAAGCTGTGACCAAGTTTCAGAACTCTAAATTTGATTCAGAGAACTGTGACTTCAGTTATCAAACATGAACACTGCAAATCATCCCTTGCTCATTTTTACTTGAATAAATACATTTTTTGTTTTCTTTTGTGCAGATTTAGCCTTTTTATCAGGATAACATTTTCAGGAACATAAGCATCATATATACTATAGCTTCTACAGATATTTTGCTCTATACAATGTGGCCAGTTTAACCAGGAGCAAATTTGATTAGAATGTGCTAATCCATGACTTTTAAATTGCTCTTCAGTCATCAAGTGAGAATATGGAAAATGTTTAACATCTTTTATATTGCTTTCTCTTCCTCCTTAGTTACAAGTGTTCTTCACCATAGAGGGACAGTAAAATCATAGTGTACTTAAAACAGAAGAGGAGTTTTCATGGTCAATGGCTGTTACTCCAAAGGCAACAACTGCATCCAAAATAAAATGGTACATTTAGTTAAAAAACAAAACAAAACAAAACATTTTTTTTCTGGGTAAGTGATCATTTACAATACAATTTGAAATAAAATATTGTATTTTACTGAAAGTACTTAAAGTTGTTGTTATAGGTACTGATTAATTGAAGTCAGAACATGCAAATTCTTATAATTTCAATATTCACATTTATTCCATTTTTAAGTTAACATGAACCCATAAATTAGATGTTCTTAAAAAGAACCATTCTGGAACTTCCACTTCTGCACGATGGAGTAAGTGTATTTTTCGCTACTTCTCCCAGTGAGTACAACTAAAAACTCTGGACATTATATATAAAATGAACATGAGATGATTCTGAAAGGCAAAGAGCAGAAAGCAGACCAGCTAGGGACCTCCGATCCCAAAGAACAACACAATGGTAAATTCTCTCAGTTTTCTTTTTGCCTTATGTATTTGGGACTTGGAGTTGAGAAGCTGGCAACAATAGACACGGACTCAAAAAAAAAAAAAAAAAAAAAGCCTCAAGAAAACCACACTCTCCGCAGCAAGGAAGGAGAGGAACCGCCTGACTAGACAGAAAACTTTTACATAATAACAGCTCGACCTAAGCCAAACACCACACAAAAAACGCTGCAGCTCTAACCCAACTGACACCAGCAAAGGACAAGTGGAGATCCACCCTTAGTGGGTTGAAAGGAGGTAACACTACGCTCTCTCCAGAGCAGTTTCAGAATGAAGTAGAGAGCCAGGATGTTTGCCACGCTGGTCTGTAACATGCCCCATCATGCCTCAGGTGTCAGTGGAGACCACATGGAGAGCCTGGACTTCCCTCTCCTGCAGGCAGTTAAAAGGTAGCCCTCCTTGGGATGTTGTCAGAAAAGACCAAGTAGGGAGTCAGCCTAGCAATGAGGCCACCCCTCTGTGGTGTCAGTGGAGACCACGTGGCGGGGGGCGGGGGTTTGAACTCATATCCCCACCCATCAGCAACAAGGAGCTCCCCACCTTGGGTGTCAACAGCAGCTGGCTGGGGAACCTAAACTTCTAGAGACACCCTTACTTCCCCAATTATGTTAATATCAGATAAAGTAGACTTCAGAGCAAACAAAACCACCAGAGCCCAAGAGGGACATTATATAAGGATAAAAGTATCATTGCACCAAAAAAACATAGCTATCTTAAAAGTATATGCAACAAAAAACAGTAGGGGTGCCTGCACCTGGGTGGCTCAGTCGGTGAAGAAACTGACTCTTGGTATTGGCTCAGGTCAGATCTCAGGGTCATGAGATGGAAGCCCTCTGCACTCAGTGGGGAGTCTGCTTGGGATTCTCTCTCTTCTCCCTCTGGCCCCACACTCTCAGTCTCTCTCTAAAATAAATAAATAAATCTTTAAAAAAAAATATGTGAAGCAAAC